AGAGACCAATTGGGCTGATGGAACAATCAGCTTGTCCTTAACCTATTCACTCCTTGGCCACATTGTGGTGAGGTTATTTTTGTCACACTAACTTTGAAATCTGTGGACGAAATCCCTTGATGTCACCATTTAAATGAAACCCCGTTGGTTGAACTTTTGCATGGTACAATTTGTTTCTAGGGATTTTACAGAAAGAAATATCAATTTTTTGTGATTTTTTTTCGTTGGTCATGAGGAGTGAAGGAGATACCTCAGTCTTCATAGAGCGGTCATTCCCTATAGGAAACACCTAAAGCTTGGACCTGTATTTCGGCCACAGGAGCTAGATTTTAGCCTGTGCGGTGGGCACGCCGAAAAGGTCGAAGGGTAGAGACCAAAAAAAGAGTCATTCCCTGGTCCTCCAGGTTGGGGGTTGGGCGTAGGGCTAACGACCCTACCACATAAAAACGCTAACTGTTACAGAAACCAGAAGCATTGATAAGGAGACAACACTGACTGGAGATGTTGTTGCTGTGGCTGCAATGACGCTCTTGGAAGGAGAGGAAGACCAAAACTACTTGGAGTAGGACACTTGAGAAAGAGCGAAGCAAAGCGGGGTGGAAGAGCTGGGAAGTAGCCAAAGAGGTTGGACAAGACAGAAAGTGTTGGTCAGACAACGTGGAGGCCTTAAGCTACTACTGGCGCGATGATGATGATGATGTGGTGGGCATAGTGACAAATATGAAGTACAATTAACAGTGTTGTGTTTGAAATAGAAGGAAAAACTCAACCCTTTGCAATTATATAAAATATTTTACAATATTGAAGTATACAATGTACAAATAGTAAAGATATGGACAGGTTAAAATCGTTATTATAAATATTCTACAAGACAACAAAAAAAATCCTATATTAATTAAGCCTCACTTAGGCTATAAAGAAATATAAGTGAACGACAAGTTTGCCCTATATAACTGGTCTGATTTAGTCTAGATGTTAGAGTTTATTTATAAATCAAAACCTTTATTGATATGATGGTGATGATTATTTCTAGCGAAGATCTACTGCTTTCAGTGAAAGATTCTAGGTAAGTGTATGCCCGCCCCGGGAGTGTATCAATGTGTGCAGAACTCATCGAACGCTCTATTTTTGCTGGGCTACTAAGACTTAAATCGGTCACTATAACTCTCATTATTCTAGTACTATCCGCCGAAGCTAATTGTGGAATTGCACGCATTTTAGTCATCCTACTGATGTACGGTTTAGGGGTTACGACAGATAGATAATTATAGGAGCCATAATTTTCTTTTTAGTTTGTTCCTATAGGAAACTGTTTCCTTGGTTCCAGAAACGCTGGAAATGGCGTTTCTGAGTATTCTATTTTAAAAATTTCCTGGGGGAGCATGCCCCCAGACCCCCCTAGCTGCTTGCGCCTTCCGCGCTCGCGAGGCGCCTTACGGCGCTAAGAAAACATTCACGTCCGGTGCTTTCAGAAGTATGTCCGCTACTTTACAAAACAGTTGAAAACCCTGTCCTAACGTTGTTTAGTCATTTTCTTTGACTATGAGGTGAACATCCCGCTCAGTATTAAACACAGTCGTTTAACATCCCAGTCAGTAGTGCTTGTGTTAAAGAGGTGACTGTATTTCGGCCACAGCAGCTAGATTGTAGCCTGTGCGGTGGGCACGCCGAAAAAGTCGAAGGGTAGAGACCAAACAAAGAGTGATCCCCTGGTCCTCCAGGTTGGAGGTTGGGCGTAGGGCTAACGACCCTACCACATAAAAACACTAACTGTTACAGAAACCAGAAGCATTGACAAGGAGACAACAATGACTGGAGGTGTTTCTCCTGGGGCTGCAATGACGCTCTTGGAAGGAGAGGAAGACCAAAAACTACTTGGAGTAGGACACTTGAGAAAGAGCGAAACAAAGCGGGGTGGAAGAGCTGGGAAGTAGCCAAAGAGGTTGCACGAGACAGAGAGTGTTGGTCAGACAACGTGGAGGCCTAAAGCTGCTACAGGCGCGATGATGATGATGATGTGGTGGGCATAGTGACAAATATGAAGTACAATTAACAGTGTTGTGCTTGAAATAGAAGGGAAAACTCAACCCTTTGCAATTATATAAAATATTTTACAATATTGAAGTATACAATGTACAAATAGTAAAGATATGGACAGGTTAAAATCGTTATTATAAATATTCTACAAGACATTAAAAAAATCCAATATTAATTAAGCCTCACTTAGGCTATAAAGAAATAAAATTGAACGACAAGTTTGCCGTAAATAACTGGTGCGATTTAGTCTAGATGTTAGAGTTTATTTATAAATCAAAACCTTTATTGATATGATGGTGATGATTATTTCTAGCGAAGATCTACTCCTTTCAGTGAAAGATTCTAGGTAAGTGTATCCCCGCCCCGGGAGTGTATCAATGTGTGCAGAACTCATCGAACGCTCTATTTTTGCTGGGCTACTACCATACGCGCGAGCGCGCGTTTGTAAAATTGGCGAACAATGATAAGACTTAAATCGGTCACTATAACTCTCTTTATTCTAGTACTATCCGCCGAAGCTAATTGTGGAATTGCACGCATTTTAGTCATCCTACTGATGTACGGTTTAGGGGTTACGACAGATAGATAATTATAGGAGCCATAATTTTCTTTTTAGTTTGTTCCTTGCCATTACAATAAAATGCGGTAAGGCCCGGCCATGATACAGATTCGTGCAAACTTTTCCATTTGGGATGGGATCGGAGTTAGTGATCTTAGGAAATCAGATTAAAAATTCGTACCTCAACAACTGACTGTTATTTTTGTTGCGTTTGTCTCTGCTACTAATCTAGCGACAAAAACCGTGAAAAATTTTAACAAATTGTGGCCGTAAAGCTAATGAGAAACTTTGAAAGACTTCCGTACTAAAGAGAGCCGATTTTCAAATCAACCATTGTAAAAGGGTTTTATCACTTAATCGACACTTAAGGGATTTTAAAAAAACGACTGTGAAGGAAAGGAAGCCTTTTTAAGAAGATTATTTGGATTGGTAGCATTTTTGGAAACTTAAAAATTATTTCGGGACTTGATCTGATGTCCGGGCATCGGAGAGTTATGTACAGTCTGTAATCCGTGTAGACGGGCAAAATTCAAATTTCGTTAACGTTTGTGAGCCATAAAATCTCGATCAAATCAAAATTTCAAATTTTGTTAACTGTGTCTGAGCTAGCAAATCTTAACTAGTAATAAAAGGAATCTTTGGCAGCAAATCATAGGAAATCGCCAGGCTTTCGTCGGCTTCAGAGCTCTTGATACTGGCTCGGCATTAAAGAAGGCTTTTCCGTCTCAGACGCTCAGAGATCTTGCAACAAGGCGGGCGGCGGTGGGGGGGGGGGGGGGGGGGGGGGGGGGGGGGGGGGGAGGGGAGTACTTCGGATTTCAAGTGACGGACCCTGATCGAAGGACTTCAATTTTGGGGGGTTTGGAATGTTCGATTCCGGGATTTTTGGGGGTTGGCAAGTTTGGCAAGTATTTTTCTTTTTTGGTTGGCTGGATTCGAGTAGGGTTTTTTTTTTCGGGGGGAGGGGCGGGGGAGGGGGTATTCAAATCAATCTGAAGATTGGTGGTTGTGCCCGCGTCGTAGTTCTCCTAGCCTGCATATCAGGCGCTTCATGAGCTAGGCGAGGCGAACGCCGCATTTTGCGCGAAGCGGGAGATGGCTGACGATTGCACTGGCGCCGCGTTCGCCTCGCTTGGCTCATAAAGCACCTGTTACGCAGGCTATAGTTCTCGAACTGAGTACAACCGCAACCTTGTTGCGGCTGTTTAAATATTTATTACTTTATAAGTGATTTAACCTTTTGAAGTGATTTATGGTCAGCTTTTTTTATGTCTATAGCCTTTACTAAGAAATTGTATTATTTCCTCCGCACGCTTGCAATTTAGTTATACTTCTACACGGATCCAGAAAATATTTCTTTGGCCCGAGACCCTGCCACGGTGTTATTTCAACTTTTGACAATGGTTGATTATCAGAGAAAATTCAACGAGACTTCTAAAAAGAGCACCTTACACTTCGTAAACTTGCCGAGTTAAATGACGATGACGATAATAGGTCAGAAACGAGCGAAAGTTATAACTGTCGCGAAGTTTTACAGACCTTTTTTAGCGGGGGACACAAAGAGACATAAATAACAAAACAGCAGAGATAAAAGCGACTTGAGGTTTGCCCCAATAATACAACTTGACACCTGTTGAACCGAGTCGAAGACATGGCCGGAAAAAAATGTACTTTGCTTCTTAACTTGCCTGAATATCGGGTGACAGGCGTTTCCCCCTTGGTGGAATGAGGAAGAGAGAAGCGAAAGGGGTGACAGCAAGGGGCCTTTTCTCCTTTCTTCTTTCCGCCTTTCATCCCCATCCTCCCCACCATTTGCTGCGAGACTGTTATGATGGAAACTAGGGAGAGAGGAGAAGGGACGGAAGCAACAGTCTGTCTCCCTTTTGTGGTTTTCTCCTTCCAACCCCCCCCCCACCCCTCCCTCCATCCCCCGCTCCGATCCCCTGAAAGCCTTTTAGAGCTTTGAATCAAAGACTTTTAGCAGAGCTTTGCACAATTGAGCCGCGCACGTCAACTGGAAGTGGACTTTTTGCAAAACTCAGCAGTGGTTTCGCCTTGATTTGTGGGCAAGTCTTCTCTTTTACAGCAAAGACACGAAAAGCATTACGAATTTGTCAGCGTCACTTCCGGTTGCAGACGTGCGTCACTCGAATACGATTTTCCAGTTATCAGGCTGAAGCTGTGATGCACATGTTTTTACAAAGATTATCAAGATTACAAGAAGTACTTTCTTTTTCGTTGGCTATCCTAGATCCTATGTTCAGTTAAATATATTTAGTGATATCATTCACATGTGACGGGTCACGCCTGACCAAGGCCTGTAAAATCCCGCGAATCAAGTTTTAGCCACGTGACAAACGAAACCTCATGAAAATCTGCATTACAATTGCATAAGGGTTATAACATTTTTCCAATGGCGGGGAAAGACATAGAAGAAGGTGAGGGTATTCCCTTGGAAAAGTCGTCCTCTGAAACACCACGGCCAACATTATGGAACAGGGTTAAGACAGGCGTACTCAAAAATTTTTTGCCCATATGCCTTGTATTTTTTGTCGTGTTGGGAATCGTTGCTCCACAGCCCGGCGTTTTCTTCAGCGAACTGCCGACTCAGTACATTTGCGTCATAGGTCTGTTTCTTCACAGCGGACTCAAACTGAAAACAGGAGAAGTAAAAGACGCTTTGAAATCGTACAAGGCTTTTATATGGGGAGTCATTTGTATTATGTGTTTAACGCCGATAATCGGAGGACATCTTACTGGGTTGTTACCCTATCAGCCGTACGCGACAAAGGACCTTGAACCCCAGGACAATGGTGTTTTCTCGAATGGAAATCATACGCGAAATGGAACCTCTTCTCCACCTACTACGGTTGAGGGTATCTCGATTCTTGGCCCAGCTTTATTTCAAATAGGAATTCAGATTTACTTCATCGTTCCTTGTACAATTGCCGGGGGAGTTATACTGGTGAGTTATATTGTGGGAACGAGTAAGGAATGAGTCAGGGAGGGGTGGCTCGGGAGCATTTGAAGAACTAATGTGAGCCGGTGGCTAAAATTCTGGTTCGTAGTGGAAATATTTTTTTAACTGTTGGGGAAAAATTGGAAAAAAGGGTGGTCACACAGCCCAGGGGGTACTTTCTCATATAAGCCACATAGGTATGTGCTGCCCCAAAGGGTGGGATTATTTTCAATTGCACTGTTTTGGCCTGAAAAAGGGTATAGATTTTGCCCAATTTGGTCTGGAATCGGGTGTGGTTTTCGAGGGGACTACGGGAGTGTATTAATGTATTTGTCATTTCAATTCCATATGAATAAGAAAAAAAGTGTAATATGGGACATTCGAAATGGTTTTAAAGAAATCTTGTTGGCGTTCTAATCTAAGTAATGATGACATAATTTCGACCTATTCCAAGTCTAATCATAACTATAACAAAATTCTCAAATCTGATTGGTTCTCAACTGCCCTGATTTCAGCCTTAATAGGACAGTTTAATAGGACAGTACGCGTCATGCCTAAGTAATTGGACAGTACGCGCCATCACGCGAATAGCTAGCGAAAAAATCTTGGAATTTCTTGTGTTTTGATTTAAAAAGAGCCCTATATATCACAAATTTTGTTAAAGTTATGATTAATTGGTAACAGAACCTTCGTGTCGTCCAATTCGGTCTGTAATCATACTCGTGATTAAACAAATCGGACTCCCGCTACGCGGTCGTCCGATTTTGTTAATCACTCATATGATTACAGACCGAATTGGACTCCACTCAGTCCTGTTACCATTACTTATAATGGGTATGGATTTTGGATGCCAGGTCTGAAAACAGGTGTGGAAAATGATATCTTTTGGTCTGAAATAGGGTCAAGATTTGGAGAACCAGGCAGCACATCCCCACCAAGAATTCCCAGGAGTAACCCTTGGGTCACACGGGTGGGAAAACAAATAAGCGTTTTTTGTTTAAATGGGGGAGGGGGGAGAGTGGGGCAGTCTCTACCCCCCTCCCCCCAAAGCACCAACATTAATAACTTTTCAGGGATAAAGCCATATTAAATGATTACATTATTATTACATTCTTTAGGACTCAGACTGTCCTAATATGATCAGACAAATTTGGTGCCAGGATTAACTGTACTTAACCTGTTACTGATGGCTCCTATTTTCTTTGTGCTATTTATAGCAAAGAAAATAGAAGATGTCTGGATATTTGCTAAACTGTACTAACTCCAGGGAACAAAGGGGCATAGTTTATAATTAAATCTAGGCCATAGCTCCCTCAAGTTGAATCTGTTAACTCAGCAGAGGAACATCTGGACAATTTTAACTGGAAGATCATGGGCTTGAACCCTTTGGGACAACTCAGAATTTCTATTTTGCAAGATGCCTGTGTCACTGATGTAAAAAAAAGAAGAGAAAGAAAGAAAAATTCATTTCTCATTATGATTTGAGTTATCTGCAATGGAGTAGAGGTTAACGAATCCTGAATGTCTCCTTGAGGCGGGGGGCAAGGGGGGAAGCTTTTAGCTCTAGGAACTAAGTTATTTTTAATTTGTGTAATTTTGTATGTCATTTGGGGCTTTTGTTTACCTTCAGGAGTAGGCTGATATATATTGTTTACGTTGTTAGTAATAAAACAAGTCAATGTCTTGGTTTCTGTTTGTGAATTTTCTCAATCCTTATTATTTTTCCCATTACATGGAATTTTGGTATTCTAAATGAGGTCAGAGTTCAATAATGATAATTAATATTAAATTTTATTCTCTATCTTAATTCAAATCTTTACAATAAATATTTAGGCTTTGATTCCTTTATTTCCCTGCAGACAGCCCAAGCTGGAGGCGCCGTAGCATTATCTGTTATGCTCACAGTGTTTTGTAACTTAGCTGCTGTTTTTACTGTGCCACCATTGGTGGCCTGGATTATAGCATTTGAGGATGTCAAGTTGGATGCTATTGCACTGTTAGTTAAACTTGTACTGACTGTACTGCTGCCACTTTTGGTATGTAGATGTATTAAACCAGGCTTAATACCAGATAAACAAACTTTTTTTGTTGAGTTTCTAACAATTAATCGAAAGGAATCTGAGCAGGCAGCTCCCTTAGGCTCAATTTCCAACAGCTGTTCAAGAAATGAGCCCAAGCTCCTCGCCTGAACAGACGGCTGGACGCATCAGTTTGCTATTGTCAGTTACCACCAATCAAATCGTTGCCGAAGAAAATTGAGCATGAACAGAATTGTACATAGGGGAAAAGTAGTCTTTGCTATTTTGATTATAGTAATTAAGGGCTTTTCATCTCTTTTTTTTACATTGGGTGACCGTGCTTTTTTAGCTGCGGCACCTAAACTGTGGAATGGGTTACCATCACAAATGCGAAATGAGCCCAATTTCCATAGGTTTAAAGGTTTACTTAAGACCCAATTTTTTTAGATTAGCTTTTTATTGGGATTTTTTAGGATTATGTATATATTATATTTTTATAGATCCATTGTTTTTTTATATAATATTTTTAGTTATTTTGGATAACTTATTGTCGATAATTTACTTTCATGTAATGCGCATTTGATCATATTTACATGTATTTTGTGCAATATAAATATTAAACTATTATTATTATTATTTTTCTTCTTTTTAGGTTGGCAAAGGACTGAGATTTGTGCCATATGTCAAACCATGTGTCAAAAGATTTTCCAACACTCTCAAGATGATTTCTATTGTACTCCTTACAATGATACCATGGATGAAAGTTAGCCAGGCAAGTGCTGAAAATGCCTTCACTGAAATCTCAGTTGCCAGTATTTTTGCTGTCCTTGGATGGGGTTTGGCAATGCATGTCCTGTTTATCTTTGTTATATATCCTCCATGCCTTATTCTTAAACTGGAAAAACCATCTCTAAAGTCAGTCATGATAATGGCAAGCCAGAAATCTCTGGCAGTCGCTGTGACTGTTTCAGGATTTCTTCCATTTACACAAGCTGAGCAAGGGCTGATAAGTTTGCCATTGATCATCATTCACCTTGGAATTATGGTAGTAGATTCTGTTTGGGCGACATGTTGGTTTGCAAGGGATGCAAAGAAAGAGAAAGCTGCGGCCGCAGTTAACATGTCAAATGGAGATGCTATTATGCTTGAAAATCAAAGCACTGATGGGAATGAACTTGAGCCCTTGGCAGATCCTGAAGCAACTGTTTAGGCTACTGTTAACGAAATGTACACTTAAAGTACTCACCTAGTATACTTATAAGCCATATAACTAGATGTAAGTTATCAACTAGCTCATTTTAATTTAAAAACTTAATGTAAGGAACCAAAAGATAATTATTTTAAGCAAGCTTGCAAAGGGCAACAAGCCATGAAAGTATTTTGGTCTACTGTTAAAGTTTGGGCCAGCCACACTTCAGTGTCGCTTGGTTGATACAGCTACCACATCCCCTCATTAAGTGCACTTCCACTCTGCCAAGCATAAGCTCTCCCCTGATATAAGGTACATTCTGACATCTTGTTGCTATTAGGAACACAGGATTAATTAATTTTTCAGAAAAATTTCTTCACCCGTCTTCTACAATTTGCGCCAGCCCTAGTATCTCTCTGTACATTTGCAGAGATCTCTTAACTGTATCATCTTGTTCTTTAAGTTTTTGCGATAAGGCTTTAGAACTGTTCTCTTTTTGAATGCAGAAAACTTTTCAGGCATATTAATTTTATTAGCTAAACCACTCTCCAGTCTTGATCTTCATAGATTGTAGTCGGTTTGTTACTGTGAAACTCACAAAATCATGAACACCACAAATATTTGTGGGATGTTATTCTGTTATAAGGAAATAGCCAATAATGCGTGGGAAAACTAAACCGGAAACGGGAACGGTAAATGAATTAGTTTGTGGTTTGAGGTTTGCTCGTGTGTCCTGAACTTTATTGTGATTGGGCACTACACAACATTACAGTCAAACCGGGAAAGCCATGAACACCAGAAATATCTCTGCAATGTTGTGTTGCAAGAAAAAAGCCAATCAGCCATGAGAAAACTGAACCACAAGCAAGAACATTAATTAGTTTGTGGTTGTGTGGCTAGTTCGCATGTCCTGATCTTTGCTGTGATTGGTCATAACAGTACACAATAAACATTCCTGAGATTTTTCAAGTGTTCACAGTTTTCCCGGTTGCACTGTAACATTCCTCACATTTTTAGGTGTTCACGGTTTTCTGAGTTTGGCAATAAGGGGAAAAACTTTAAAAGAACATTGATTTGGTACATTCCCTCTCTCATTTCTTTTTCCTTTGGGCATCAGCTTCATAAGTGTCAGTTTTTCTTGGTTTGACATTATTTACACTGGATTATTTATTGATACCTCCATTCTGAAGAATAATTCTAAATACAGACATGTATTTGTTAGTTATTTTTCAGCTCTCCTAGACAAAAATTATTTTACTGAACAATACTGGTAGAGCCAGCAAAAGTCAAAAATTGTTAGTTAAAATTTTAACATTTTTCCTCCATTCAGAATATACAGTCAAGTATTATTTTAGCGATTTTTCAGCTCTTCTAGACAAAAATTGTTATACTAAACAATACCGGTATATTATTGCTAAAATTATTTAGAAAGCCATAACAGCAAAAGTCATAAATTGTTAGTTAAGATTTTAACATTTTTCCTCCATTCAGAATATAAAATACAGTCATGTATTTATTTTAGTAATTTTTCAGCTCTCCTAGACAAAAATTATTATACTGAACAATACTGGTATATTATTGCTAAACTATTTAAAAAGTTATAACAGCAAAAGTCATAAATTGTTAATTAAAATAATATTTGTATTTTTGTCCATGTGCATTCCCTGAAATTGAAATGAATGGATTGAAAGCCACAAATATTGTAACAGATTTAAAATTCAATAAAATTTTTTTGAAATGAAAAATTATTTCTTATTTGGGTGGAAATAAAACACTTCTGAAGAGTGCGTGGTTTGCACTTATTGATGTTCTATTTTATCCCACTTACTTTCTACTTGAGCGATAATATTGTAGTTAATATAATGATTTAATAAAATTGGTATAAGACTTAGCCACTGTAATCAGATGCTTTGCTGGGGCCCTCCAGTAAAATAAATTGCACAAAGAATTCAATTTTAAGACGGAATCCATTAGGAAATTGAGTAAGTTTAATTTTCAGTAGACAAAAACCTTGCACCAGAACATTTTAAGCCAAAACGCATTCTTTTTTACACTTTATAAGGGCTATAGATGTGATTAGTTATCTGTAGTAACACCAAAGAAAATTTCTTAAGGGAGCCTGAGATAATGAATTTCAAAGTTCATAGGAATTGAGAACACACAGGTAAAATCGCCATGCATAAGATTTCATTTTGTAAAATATGAGGCTTTTGAAGTTTTTTTTTCTCAGGCTCCAATAAGAACCTTTACTTCATAGTCATTTCATGCAAGTTATTACATTTATAGCCCTTGAAAAGTGTGAAAAAGAATGCAATGCTTGAAATTATTCTGGTACAAGGTTTTTATCCATTGAAAGTTAATCAATTTCCTAATAGAGCTCATCTTATTCCTTAAGTTTGCTAGTAACGTTTCTCTTCTTGAAGAATTAATGCGTTCTGATTGTCATTTTTCTCTTCATTGTAACTGTATTAGAAGGTAATTAGTTTATATCATCTTATGTCTATGTTAAACCATACATTTGTCTAGTTATATTTTTTTCTCTTGTTTTAGTCATATATTACTGATTAGGCATTGTTTTTATATGTGTATTTTGTATTGTTGTGAAGGCCATAAGTTAGATAACTCATTGGGTTATTACGTCACTATCGTTAAATAAAGAATATTGTATTGTATTGTACAATATAAGCTAAGCTTAAGACTAGCAACAACCACAGTACAAGTGTTCAAAATAGCAGCTGGCTACTGATGGCAGCTTACTCAGAAGAAATAGAAAATATGATGCTTTGATCGGCCCACTGAAATCGAAGTTGCTGTAATGTTATAAACATTTCAAATCAGAAAATAAAGCAGCCAAGAAACGTTTTACAAACTTTTTAGAAACGGTTTAGAATGAGCAGAAAGACTAGGAAAAGGTTTGGAAATTCAAAGCGTGCTGCAAAAGTTGAAAAAGAGAATTCTTGTTCACCATCAACGACTGATTTTTTTACCTGTTTGTTCAAGCGTAAAACGTGCAATTTATGTACAAAATCTTATTAAAATTACTTTATATTTTTACAAGGTTTCTCAAGGAGGAAAGTAAAATTTCAAGTCAAAAAGATTTTGGTCCCAGGTGTGCCAGGCAACAGGTTCTTTGTAGATTCTGTTAATTAGTACACACACACATATCGCGGAAAGTGAAAAAAAGTGATTCATAGAATGTGCCATTTTCATCACACATGAATCAGTGATGTTGGCTCCCAACTGATTCTTTCAATATGATCCTAACATGCCGGGATTTGCAAAAAGTAGGCGGCAAAATTATCAGGAACAAATGTGTGGTTCTTAGAATTTGAAATTAACAGCCGTTGCTGAACACATACAAAGCAAACTTATTCATTATTGACAACCAGGGAAAAAATAAGCCTTAACAAAAAAAGCCTAGAGATTCAGGCTTGTGATTTTATTTTGAACCCTGAACCAGTCTTTGGTTTGACCTGTGCCTCATTATTTCAAGGGACCCTTCTTTGAAAAGCTGTCTTTACCTAAAATGCCAAACTTTGTAATAGGGTGTGTCACTGTCCAGTTGTGATCAGCAGCTGTCACCAGCATACCTGGTGTCAGTGTGGTATCACTAGTTTGAAATCCAAGGGAAGGTAAAAATGACGCCACGTGTTTTGCAATCCCAAGACAAGAAGAAAGTCCTGTAGAGCGAATTCCACCCACTGTAACCCATCCCTTCTCTGAGTCACAGTCTATGCAATAATCTTTGAACTCTGTGGCTGGGCGTAGTCCTGCATATGTACCTATTACAGCATGGTCCCTGAGAGAGGGCACCACCGTATGGGCAAAATTAACCAAGCTTTCAATCACTGTGTCATCAATTTCAGCATTTGTGCGATCCAACTGGTCCTCGGCTGTAGGACCAACCACAACGTTACCATAGATAGTTGGAAACACAAGAATACCCTTTGTTTTTGGTGTAGGAACAGGAAAGATAATTGAATTCAGTAGATGTCCAGCAGATTTGTCAAACACCGCATACTGCCCTTTCCGAGGTTTTATTGTAAAGGGACTTTTTCCATGTATTGATTCTAAGTCATCTCCATATAACCCAGCACAGTTGACTACAATTTTGGCTGTGATTGGTCCTTTAGATGTTGACAGATGCCAATCATTCCCTTGCATTTTGCCACCAGTCACATGACAGCTTGTAAGTATCATGGCACCTTGAGCTAGTGCTAAATTAGCTAATGTTATAGGAATTTTCCAAGGATCCACTAGACTTTCTCCGGGCACAAACACAGCACCTAGCGCCTTGGAGCTCAAATTAGGCTCTCTCTGAAGCAACTCGCTCGCTATCAGTTGTCTTGCATCGGTTACTCCTGTTTTGTGAGCTTTTTCAACTAACTGGGGTAATTCTTTGAGATCACTTTCGCTCCAAGCAACAATGAAACCTCCAGATCGCCTGTAAGGAATGTTATACTCCATGAAAAAGTTCTCGTTCAACGATCGCGCCCGTTGAAGGCAACGAAGCTCTAGGCTATCGAGGGGTGCATCAAAGCCTGTGTGAAGCGTACCACTGTTTCCTGAACTCGCTCCACAAACAAGATTTTCCTCCTTTTCGCAAAGCACACAGTGGAGCCCTAAAGATGAAAGCTCGCGAAGAACAGCACAGCCCACAACCCCGCCGCCTACAACAGCAACGTCAAATTTCGCATCGTCTTCCGCCATATTGGACAGTATCTATTTTACCTACACTTCCAAGGTGGGGTAGGTAGTTAAATTTGCTTATACTGAAATTTATACACAAGTAGTTATAAATCGGTATCATTTCAAGGCGAGATGTAAGTTGGAAGTAATGTCAATGATTTTTCTTTCTTTTCTTTGCTAAAATACAAAACTAGAAAGCAAAGATTTGAAGCAGTGAACAATACGTGCAAAAGGAGGCCATCGTTTGTTATCGTGAGTGTAACAGGGCCCAATCTACCCTGGGTACCAGAGGTTTTTTCTCGCGTGCGACGAGGAGCTTTTGGCGGGTGTCGTTTTGACCGAAACCGGAAACCGCGCATGAAAAGCCTCTGGAACCCAGGGTAGACCCAATCTCCTCTCACCCCAAAAATTTATAAATAGCGACTGAGTACGAGTTTTGCGGGGGCCAACAGATGCACCATTTTTGTTGAATTTTACCTAGTTTAGAATATTGTAAATGCTCTGTTTTTGAATTATGAACATATCACAAAACTAGAACCTTTTCTCGACTTTTTCACAGACACAAAATGCAACTGTTAGCCCTGTTGGTCCTTTCTGCAGACCGAAAAAAAGACAGATTTCAAGACCTTCTTCCACTCGTGAAATATCCCTACTCTTTTATGTATCAGAAACCTGAAAAAGGTACCCCTTTCGGGCGGAGCATCCCTTAGACTTGCCTGCAAGTCGAGCCCAAAAATTTTCACGAGCGCGAAGCGCGAAGCGCGAGCGGTAGATGTTTTATTACGTTTTCTGCGGCAAAAGCGAGCTAGAGAGCGAGAGCTTCGCACTGGGGCCAACTACCGGAACCGGAAATGAGAAGCGATGGACTTTAAGAAAGCCTAAGCATCCCTGTGTAGGCAATTATTGGGAATTTTCATTTTAAAAAAACAGCAACGTAATACCTAGTCCGTTTTTTATTAGATTTGAAAGTTCACAGCCGCTCGCATGAGCGCTTTTTCTGTGTAGCAAACACCTCTTTGTGTGTTTGACAAAAAGTGTTTATTGTGTAAATGTTTAAGGTGAGGATGTTTTACACAGCTGTAGGCGTTGCTGAGTAACCGTTATTCCATTTTTACAAATCAATCCTCGAACAAAATGCAAATTCATTAGAAAGCTAAAAACTGCGCTGTGTTTAGAATAACTCAAGTTGATTGAAGTTTCTTTAATGCTGGTTTTTTCAATTTGAGCTCTCAAAAAGGTAAAGTCACTCAGTAAAGTGATAACCTGCATGATATAACTGACGTAAAGTGAAATGTTTTGCCGAATTCGCACTGGATTTGCCAGCGATGAGAGGTAAGCGATTACGTCGGCCGGGCGTATACAAAACTTAATGCTTTAGTTGAAGTACACCGTACGTATTTCCTTTCCAGGCAGTACGAACATGTATACAGAAAAACATGTTACTTTCTGGTACAAAAATGTGGAGAGGATGAAAAGATATTATCAATATTACTGCACTAATGACGTTTTTTACACGCGGAACATCGCATTTGCCATATGCATTACGTCGTCTTTCCATTTGATTTGATTGAAGCTGACTGAAAAACTGCTGGGAATTGTCCCTGGGCAGTATTAAACTGATCAGTCATGCATTTTCAAACTGACAGAGGCGAAAGCGAAGTATCAATCATTATGATTTTTATCTCCACTTTTGAATGCTACTTTTTGACGTACATCAGTTTCTGTCGCCGTTTTTAGCCTTACACTCAGGGCCAGAAAATGACTGAATTACCTCTATTAAGTGACAAACAGTGCCAACTTCAAAAAGACGGACAGAAAAGTAAGCTCAATTCTGATTCAACGATGTACGATGTACTTTGTAACTATACAAATTCACGTGTCTCAGTTTAGCCAGCTTTGGGGTCCTATTTTTTCATATCAGCCACATACACAAGGCATATTTCCCAACAGTAATGGTCGTTAAAGTAGGTTTCATGCTCAACTTATGTATATTGTCGCTTATAACTGAGGGTGATGTAATTATTAGTTCGAAGGAAGATAATTACTTCCATTAATTTGGCGAAAGCTTTTGCTCAGAACTGATGGCCAGAACTTCAAGCAATAGAAAACAAATTTTCAGGACATAATCACAATTAAAAGGAATGATTGGTGGACTCGCAGAAATTGACTGACAAGCCCTCTTTTCTCTACTGAGAGACGGCTATAAACGTTGATCTCGCGATTTTTCATGCAAAATTTTTGTTCTATAGCTAAAAACAATTAGTTTTAAATAATCGCCAGAGAGACAAAATTTCCCAAAGGTGATGGAGGCTGAATTGAACTATTTCACTACGAAATCAGGGATAAATTGCTGGAACCAAACTCCGTCAGTTTCACCGGGATGTCATTTGTGATTCCCAAAACTCCGGTTTTACAAACCTTCATTTAAGTCAAGTTCTAATTACTGAAAAGAAAAAATCAAAGCAATTGCAAGCTTCATACAATGCATGTGAGAAAGCGATATTTCATTTCGCACCACCTTTCTATATATTTGTGTTATTGACCAAGCATGTCTCCTGCAAGACTGGATATTGGCAAGTTTTTTCTTAGTTTCGTTTCGTTTCGTTTCGGTTCATAAAAGGGCAAAAGGAGTGAGGTGAATATTCAGCTGTCTTGACTGACCAAGCTAGGTAAGTAAGATTAAAAATCTTTTTTCTTGCGGGACAAGGAGACCACCTTCAAGATAGTTCGTAAAGCCAATTAGAGGACAGGCCGGTGTTCCGTTCATCTTGGCCACTCGCGGATCCAACATGTAGTTCGTATCAAAAGATGACGTAATCAAGATATAATTACCGTTGTCAAAGGCCAGCCGGCAGCCCTTACCTTAAAAATCTTTTTTTAATTGGGAATGCACTTTCATCATGCTATGCCACCCTGGACTCCCCCAAAGAAATTTTCAAGTAGGAGATTGATGTATCTTTTGCCACTAAAACACTGCACTAAAATCTTTTTTCTCAAACTTAATGCAATAACTGTGATTACATTTTTTTAGGAGATTTTAAATACAACGACACAGTTTAGGCCGGAAATCTGCGACATGCCCGAAGGGAACAGCAAAGAGACAACGAAACACGAGGAGGGTGGATCATGTCTGCCAAGGTCTTCACCCATAGTTAAAGCTTGGGAATTTGTTAATAACTATCTGTTAGCAATTGGAATCATTTTGATAGTGATAATCGGTTCCCAGTGGCCGGAATCAGGGATAATTCTCACAAGAACATACTTTTCCTACGTAAGCCTCGCTCTTTGCTTCTTTTTATGTGGCCTACGCACGAAACTGGATGAACTTCAAGTAGCAGTTAAGTCTTACAAAGCAATCGCATGGGGAATCTTGACTATTCTTCTTGTAGTGCCAGTTGCGGGAACTCAAATCACAAAGACGATTCAGTTTGCAACTAGGGTCGACGAGAATTTGAACACTTCAGAATCAGCAGTTGTTGGAAATGTGACTGCTATTGGTCCTACCGAATTTGCGTTCGCACTTCAGGTGTTTTTTGTCGTCCCGTCAAGCTTGTCTGCTGCTGCTATCTTGGTAAGACATGTTCCCTCGAAGGTGGGTTAACTGATAGCAAAATGTTAAAACCTGAAAACGATAATTGCTGGGGAAAATACCTTATTTCCCCGAATAAGCGCCCTGTGGCTCTTATCTAAAATTTGGGCTAAAAGGATGCACGGGCGCTTAATTATTGGAAGGAAGGCGCTTAATCGAAGGGGCGCTTATTAAATTCTCCTGTTTGTAAACAAACGTAACTTGATCCCATTTTGGAGTTTACACACAGAGTTATCAATAAAGCGGCAATAGAAACAGGTTGTCCTTGTGTCCCTCCCTTTAAAGAAAGTGATCGGGGAGGGGAGGGGGGCGCAAATTCGAGGGGTAGCCTGAATTCCAGACAATTAGTTCGAGTCGTTTTTACTCCCTTAGTTAACAGGGAATGAAAATAACTCGAAGTCAGTAATCGTCTGAAATTAAGGCTAATTCAAGGGGGCCGCTTGTTTGATATTTTGGCCCAGGGGTGGACGCTTATAGTTACTGATTAAGGATGTCTGCGTATCTTTGGTTTTGGTGATAACTTTGCCTTTCTTTCTAGCAACTCAAAAGCACCAGCTTCCTCAGACTGTTCCTCGGGGACGCGAGGGGACGAAAGGCAATTGCACATGAATTTTCGACAAACTGGTCGACACACCCTTTACAACTGATTAGTAGCATTTCTATTATAGCTAGGGCCGGAGACAAGACTTATGGATGTAAATTTTAGTCTAACATAACAGCACCTTACCAAGAGTGTCTCAACTTCGATCTGAACTAAATCACGTGTAGAACCTGTTTGCCAAACTGTCATATACATATTTTTTCTTTTCAGTCGTTATTAGCCGGCGGCAGTTTCCCTCTCGCGATGTTGCTGATGGCCGTAACAAATGTTGTGTCCGTGTTTACCGTGCCGCCGATGTTGGTTTGGTTGACAGACCTCAACAGTGGTGTGAATTTATCAAGATTCGGCACTCTTATGCTCGTGTTTTGCCTCGTAACTCTATTCCCAACAATCGTAAGTAGCACTGAGAACTTGCCGTGTTCCTTTTCTCGAACTTACCCACATTGCACTTCGTCACCCTGGCTCCTGGTTTGCTCAGTTGAGCGAAAAGAGTTCATTGAAACTTGGACTTTCTAGTCTTTTTCTTTGTTTTTCTCTTTTTGGACTTTATTTCCACATACCTTTCTAAGTAGACGTGAGTGGATAGCACAGTTATTTCAAAAGCAATAGTGGTGCTAAGGTCGCGTGGGACTCCTTAGGTTCATTGTTTTGCATTTATCTAAAGCGTGTGCACGAAGTACAGCGACTGATATCGACAGGTTTAGGGATATTCATAACTGGATAAAAGATGAGCGCATGATTTAAATTAAACTGTTCAAGTACATGTGTTGCACGCAGCCTGCAAACAAAATGTTCATTCAAAAGTAACAAATGGGCTCTGAATCAAGCCCTGTTTCAGTGATTTTTGATAATATGGAAATGAAAATAAGGAACTCTTGATTTCAACCAAATGCCAAAACTCTTTGTACTTTTTTTTTTCGCCCCAAAAATCCTTGAAAACATTACAGCTAAAAAACAAAATTGAAGCGTGGAATGTAATTAACCATAATTACTTATCTTGCTTGGTCGTGCTTTGGTCGGGACAACAGGTGTCGCCCGCAGCCTTGAAGGCGTATGGATTTGTGTCTCCACTGAAGGATTAACGGTTGGTGAATTAAAGACAATCCCTCGACATATAATAGTTTTTTAAATGCTTTTTAGGGGTTAAACAATCTTTCATTTAAACAATATTTTGAGTAAAAAAGGTGTCGTCCTTTTTTGTCTAAGAAAGCCTGCGTAGAGGATTTTATCTTAGAGGGATACGCGTTTCTGTTACTTAAGACCGGTACTGAATTGTTTTTTTGCATGCAATGCGTGCCTATTTGTTTCAGATCGGCAGCTTGCTAAGAATTGTGCCGAGCGTTCGCGAAAAAGTGGAATCATATAACACAGGCGTTCAATACACCATAATAACCCTGTTCGTTCTCTCTACGTGGTCTGAAGTGAGCATGGCACAAGTCGAGGAAGAGTTTAATAACATTGTTTCCATGAACATATTTATCGTGGTGGGTTACTCTTCAATAATGCACATCATGTTTCTACTTTTACACTGGATCGCAAGTGGATTCCTCGAACTCAGTTTACCAGCGAAGAAGACCATAGTGATTACTGGAAGCCATAAGGCAATGTCTTTTGCCCTCAAGGTTATCAAGTTTCTCTCCACTGATGTTGGCTCCAAAAGACTCATGTCAATCGTTTGTATTATAGCGTACTTGACGCTGCTGGTTCTGGACTCGGTCATTGTGTGCAAGTGGGCCACGATCACGGAAGATGATGAAAAGGACGAAAAAACATCAAACAAAGATGGAAGATATGGAACGATACCGCAACAAGATGACTAAATGGAACAAGGGAACAACACTGAAGTGGTTTATGTTCAAGAGGACAGGGGATGATTGAGAAAGGGGTCGAGTATCGGTACACCGAGTTTGCTAACGAAACACATCACGTAAAAATTAAAGTTTCTGCATCGCATTGGAAGCTAATTATATAATAGATGGCATAGGAAGTTTTTTTAATTGCAGTATTTTTTTATAGAAATGGTTATTTCAAGTAAATTTTGAAGATAAAAGAGAGAAAAATAAACACAAAAAATATGGTTAAATATACAGTAGGGGTAATTCAAGAAATATCTGGGGGGAGCAGATAAAACCTACGTTGCAAAGAAAGTTGAGTACGGTTTTACTTCTTAATATTGTATTTTGTCGTGGAAAATAAAGTAAAGAAGGTTAAAATCCACACTATGGTTTTCGATTGTTTTTGAGGTAACCAGAGACACTCGTTTCTAGAGTTCAACGGGCACAAATATATTCCTGGTTTGTACGTGACGTCACGGCGGCCATGTTGGTGATCAAGGACAAAAGCATTTCTCTCCTCTAGGAACTAAATTCTATTTCATGTAAATTCTTTAAAAAGAATAGACCTTTTTACCGATACGGCGGCCAAATTGAACTAATTCGATTTAAGGAGTATTATAGAATGCCCAGGGGGCATGAGCACATTTCTTAAGTTTTCTTCGAATAAGATTGTAATGGGAAAAAAGATCCTTGTGCCGAGTTTGGATGTAATAATGATCGCCTTTTTCTAGTTTAGTATTAGAAATATGGTCTTTCACTGTATATTTCTCGGGAAAAAGGCGATCATTATTACATCCAAACACGGTACAAGGATCTTTTTTCTCATTAGAATCTTATTCTTAGAAAAATTTACGAAAAAATGTCCCAAAATGCGGTCGAAAATGCAAACGAAATGTGCTCATGCCCCCGGGTATCCTATAATACTCCTTAAATCGAATTAATTCAATATGGCCGCCGTATCGGTAAAAAGGTCTATTTTACTGTATTGACCACCAACAAAAATCGCCAAAAAGATTATTATGATTAGTGCTCGTGTTGAAATTTGTTTGATATCTTCTTCGTAACCCAACAGGAGCATTTTGTGTATGGGTAAAAACATTAAGTAATGACTTCAGCACAGAATTGTCCAAAAACAGCGATATCCTCGTGACATAGCTTCTTTCATTATTCAGTTTTCACCATTTTTTCTACCAATTTCTTTTAGCATGTTTTTATAATGAGGGTAAAACAACATTATCATACAATTTATAATACATTATCACACATTTTTAATTTATTTACTGAGTTCGTCTCAAGAGAAGATCGACTTTTGTCCCTGAGACGATCTTTACACGTTGTATCCATCTGAAGCTGACGGAAAGAAAGTGTTTTTCGATCCACACTCAGCCAGACGAACTTGAAAGAGACAAACGTCGAACTTATCCTGAAGTAAACTCACTCAGTTTTGTTGGTCTCATAAAAAGGCCAACCTTTGGCCTTGGCCTTGGCCTTAACCTTGTCAGCGACAAGAGAACTAGTTACCTCATGTGCCTAAAAAAGAGTACAAATCCATGCAGTTTGGTACAACAACTGACATCTCATTTTCAAGGTGTCTTTTTTAAATGACTGTGTAGAAAGATCGCGTGACCAGTACGTTTTGCGATGAAGGTAAAACACATTTTGGAATGCTTTAGCAGCCGATACATTGGAGATGCTACAACGCATCTACGGCCCGGCTCGGCAAACACCGTACTGAGTCAAACGTTGCAAAAATTTCACATGATCAGGACCTAAGGCTTATAAGCGAGAACAATGGATTTTGCTCATTAGCATTAGGTTAGACGCGTGTGAAATTCAACGTTTGATGTAGGCCTTAGGCTAGTCAACCGTCTTCACAATTTGCTGGTGCGATCGCGTGTCACTTATATGGAGCTTCCAAAGGGGAGGGATTTCTACTCCATTTGCTGTATCCGGGAAGAATACCTCTGTGATATAACACGTTGCTGACGACTTTGTTCTGAAACGAAAAGTACGCATTTAACTGTTTCTATTCGACAAATAGTAAAAAAGAAATTTTTCTAGGTTTTCTTCAGATTGAGACCAATGGAATCCACGGTGTCTTGGGGCCAAAGGATCGGTTTGTACAAGATATGTGTCAGCACGAAACTTTCCACCATAGGGGTCAAGGCGCCACCATAAAAAAAGCCTCGAACTGGAAAATCCAAACGTTTGGAGAGAGCTGCGGTGTGAAGTTTCTAGACCGCGAAGTTATACTATTCAAATCTGTAGCCTGCGTGGCAGGCGCCGGTCCGATTTTTGGTTGGTTGCTATAGAGCGCGCTCTATAACAACTCTCCTTATCCGGCTTTCCACGTGAGCGCGTGTCCGTCCTCGAAATTTCTCCCTCTGCCCTAAAAAAACGGCGCCCGCTAAACAGGCTATCAAATCTGCATTAGGATATCAGGCCCCACCTTAAATCTGATCCACTCCTTCTCTTTCTCTTGTTCGATGTATTCTTTCTGTATCTCATCCTGCGAAAAAAAACGATGGACGATAACTTAAATGTCTGAAACGAAATAAGTATTCTTAACGCTGCAATAACTCCCGGAGACTAAAAAAACCCTTTGCTAGGTCATCTATGGGCTTGTTTTCTAAGCGTGTGTTTTATCCCCTAAAAAAATCCTGGAAATGACAAGCAGCTAATATCGGAATTGTAATGTTTCAACATCCCGGCAAAGGAGGCCCTACCCACCCAGGGTAGAGCAACTGATAGTCTGATATTCCGACTGGAGTCGAGACAGACGAAAGTAAATCCTTGAAATTAGACGATTTATTGTTTTTTGAGTCTCGCACCACGAAAAAAGGTGACCATAAGAAGAAGAAGCAGGAAGAAAACAAAACATGTATCGTTACATATATCAGTCATCTACCTCCGTTAAATTAGCATCCATCACAGAGTAGGACTGCGTCAGAAGCGATCTTGTTACCTCATCTAAGTCTGAACAAAATCAAACATCAAGCTTAACGACGAGGCAAGTGAACTATGGTTTTTGTTTGTAATTTGCTATCAGGTAGATATTCGGACAGAAACCCAAATCACAGTTAACATTTCAATAAACAATAGCCCTGAAAATACGCCGGTCTGGAAAGCATAATGACGTGAAATCTTACCATAAACGTCAAATGTGGAGATGGTGCCTATCTGCACATGAGTATCCGTGACCACAGAGCATGACATAGGTAGACCCTTCAGCACTGTGCTCTCACCAAACGAGTCTCCTGTGCACAGTCTACCAATAAGCACAGACTTGGTACGTTGTTCCTACAGATTATAAAAAAAAATTCATTACTTGAAAAGGGAGGGCAGTAGGGATACACGTGGTCATGGGCGTGGCACTTTTCACAGTAGGGAACACGTGGTCATGGGCGTTGCACTTTTCAGAGGACAGTCATGTTGGCCGGTTACTAAATCTAATACCTGGCTTGTCTGCTTGCAAACATCTTCTACTTCTTTCCATCTTGTCACGTTTTGCAATTTAATTTGATATTCTGGACAATTCAAGCTACCTTAAAATGATTTCTTAACACTGGTTTATCATCAGGGTTCATGATTTCTTTGATATCAACGGTAGAGACATCACAGATTCAGAATACGTCAATTTTTACATCTTCCGACCCCTTTTATTGAAAAGATGAACGGCAGAAAGGGGGGGGGAAACTAACCTTTTTGCCATTTGGAAAAGTGTGCGCGACGTTGATATGTCGCCGTAAGAGACATTCTCCTTTCTTTATAAAACCAATCACTTCACATCTTTCGCCTTCTTTCACAAGGACTGAGGAAGAACAAATATCAGATTATGAATCAGATTAAAACCTTGTAGAGTCGTCGTGTTCGCCAATGGATTTAATTTAATAAAATGTAATTAACTTTCCGCCTAGGAATTCTGCACTATATACCCAAAATTTTCTCTTAATTTGCTCTGAAGAGTTCTTTATTCCAAGTCGTGTCCCTAGTGGTGACCAGCTAACTCTGCAAAAAAACTTTCTACTTATAGATCAGAAGTGCCGGGGGGGGGGGGGTAAGCTGGGGGCTTCTTTTTAGTTTTTGTTGCAATAGTTTTTATTTTATAAAAATTTTAGTACTCTTCCCATATGTCATTTCTAACTTCCAACCCTAATTTTCCTATTAATTTTGTCTGAATATTTTTTTATGCCAATTCGGGTCCTTAGGGGTGCCCAGGTAACCTTTAAAAAAAACTTTCTTCTTGAGGATGGGGGGGGGGGGGGGGGGGGGGGTAAGCTGGGGGCTTCTTTTTACTCCCCCAGTATCAAGTCGCTTAGTCATGGAGAGCTTGCTTTCTCACAGGCTAACCTAACAAATCAATAAGACAGGCAATAATCCTCTTTCCGTGGGTCACTTCCCCTTACTACCTAGTCTTGAACATCTATACCTTGGCCAGGTGGAAACTTTCTCCATTTAATGAGTCCAGCTATTTTCTTGAGCGAGAGCAAAGGCCAGCTGTGGAAAAGCTTGCACATCTTGGCTAAGGACAGTTTCTGTTCTTCCTCACGTGCTTGAATGATCTGTAATGGAATATAAAGCGGTGTTTAGTGTGCTTCAGGAATTTTGTTGTTGCTTTTGTTATTGGTCCCTTCTCATAGTCCTTTTCTCTAAGAATACGTCATAATTGCTTTCTGGATGATGACGAAGTTTTAGAAGCAACTATCCTAGGAACGAGGTTGCTTGACAGCGTACGATGACGTCACAAACATGTGCTCAAGAATCCGCAAGAATAGGACAATTGCGCGATGACGGAATTTTACTACAACTACCAGAATGCTTCAGTTTGTTGTTTTTTGTGTAAATTAAGGCTATTGTTCTTTAAACCTCTGAGGGATTGAAAAATTTAAATAAGAAAGCAAAAACGAAATGAATTCTAGTAGTTGTAGTAAAATGTCGTCATCGTGAAAATGGCCTGTTCGAGCAAGAAAGGAATCAACAATAGGTTACAAGAAGAGAACTCTTTAAGATAATCAGCAAGCCATTATTGAGTGTTTTAAAATAATATTCAAAGTTACCTGGATAACTCGTGCATAATCACTAGTAGAAATCTTCAGAAACTCACACGGTTCCAAGGAAATAACAGAAAGTAGCCTATAAAAAAAATATTGGACAATTTTCTCTCACGCTCATAAAAAAGCAGCACATGTGTTTTCAGTGAGAATACATTTGGAAGCTAGCTAGGAGGGGGTATATCAGGCGGTAGCAGTTAATAGGAAAGTAGATGCACTAATAAGACAAGCAAAGCAAATACCTTGAGTTTGGTTCTCTCCCTTCAACTTTGCTTAGTGTTCCAAAACATTGGCCAACTGTTAGCTAAAAAAACAAAATGAATTTACATGGAATGGTTTATACAGTTGTAATTACAACAGGTCACCAGACAGTGTCTGACTAAAATAAAAGAATTTCCCCATGTTCATGTCTGGGCAGATACTAGAGCTATCTTTTTTTAACTAAACACGACAGTGCTTAGTAACGAAGGGAGAATAAACATCGGTGCATTGAATCCACATACAGAGCTCTCCTAGCCACTCCGCCACAAATTCAAGGTTGAGATCGTGCGCCTACCTTGATGGGCAGCCATACTGGTTTCAAATGATTCCTGCCTGGGGATGAGTATTAATTCTTCTTACTGGGGGGGTGGGGGCACGGGGGATGGTTTGGGAAGAGGCAAGACAAGTCGTTTTTTCAGATTTTATTTTTCTCACCTCCCTCCCCCTACCACTATAGACCCCACCACCCACCCTCTCGGCACATTGGCTGTCCGTAATGGTAAGCATTCAATCTCTATGATCTTATGGAAAAATAGGGGACTGTGAACAGTCCAGATTTAAGTACTTTGAAAAATATATGTACATATATTTTATTTTCACAAAATTCCCACCTTTTCTTTCACTTTTAGCTCATCTTCGTCAAATATTGGTGTTGGAGAAGGAAACTCAGCTGTTGTTTCACTTATTCGTGAGTAGGCTGGTGAAGTTTGTGGTAGAACACTTCCTCTTAAGATAAGATGGAGGCCTGTATTACCAAACACTGAAAAAAAAATGAAAAAAATTCTGGTATTTGGCTCCTACTACTCAAGTGTTTTGGAAGACTACATCTCTGTAACAAAAAATTAATATATAAATAAATAACATTAATATAAGAGATGTTAAAATTTGTGGAGGGAGAAAACCCTTTAACATCAGTCCTAAAGTTTCTTAAACCAGTATCAAGCCACAAATTAAAAATAAATCTTTTTGTTAGATGCTGTGAAAAATGAAAACTATATTTCAGATTCAATTATATTTTTCTCATAGCTTGTGAAGTCTGCATGTGTATGTTGCTAAGAAAGGAGTGGGGTGTAAGGGTTTGTGGTGATGTGATTTTGTTCGATTTTTGGTCAGTTTTGCAGAAATTTTTTTTAAAGTTGCCATATTGAGATTTTACAGAACCTGAAGCAGTTTGCGATATTTATATTAGAAATTTTCGGGTAATTTCAATGCAGTTTTCTTATGTTATTCTGTGCGGTGTTTATACGTATTTCTGTGCAGTTTTGTGGTGCTCTTGCCCCCCTTACGCCCCCCTCAGAAAGCCAAAGAAGATGGCAGATGGAGTAAGGTGATCAATGCAAAGTAAGCTGTTACCACACAACACCCACCAGTGTATTCTAGGTCTTGTTAAAAGAAGCTAAATCAACCGACAAGTCTTGAAAAAATGGTCTAACCTGTGTAGTCGTCCTCTGGACATCTGTCAAGCTGTGCTACAGAACAGAGTTCTTTCAGCACATGGCTTGGAACTTGATCAGCAACTTCAGGAAAATATTGTAAGTGCTTAAATAGAATCTCATTATCTTTTGCTTTCCTTTCAAAAGGCCTGTCAAACATGAAAGGTCAAACAGTTAACTCTTTAAGTCCCAACAGTGACCAACAGCAATTTTCTCCTAATGATATCTATACATTATCATGAGATGAGGTTATGAGAATTAATTAAATGATCATCTAAGAGTAAATACTTTGATCTTTTATCAAATTCTGTCAACTCATTCTTTAAGGAAATGTATAGAGATCAGTTTGGAGAATTTGTATGTGGATACTGGGGCTTAAAGGGTTAAAATAGTAGGTTTACTGTCAAAATAAACATTCACTGACTGAAAAAAACATCACTTATACCGAGAGTACGTATTGAATAAACTTACTGTTTTTTAAGAACTTTTTTGATGGCCTTTATTCTCATGTTCTGTAATCCAGCAAAAGATGTAGTGATAACTGAGTGTCTGTGAAGCTTTGACAGGTGATCTGAGATGTTATGGCTGATGGGCGGGTTAAACCCTTCACACCAGTGGGGATATAATCCTTTGTCTGCAGGTGCCAAAAGAATTCATAAAAATAATTTTTTTTAATATTTTGAGGACTAAAATAATAAGACAATTTTTAGGGAATTACAGAACTTTTAATGCATCCTACCATGTGGTATTTTAGTTTCTTGTGCTTTCAACATCTGTCCATCTCCAAAATTTAACTTTCTGTAAAAGGAAAAAAAAACTATGAAGCCGTCTGGTGTAACAAAACAATAAATTACTTTTTATGCTCTTTATAAATTACAATCGTTTCAAAGTAACAAATTAGTGTAATTTGTGCCTGGAAAACCAAAGAGAGATTCAAGTGATAGTTACTAAAATAGTATGAAAAGGTCTTCTGATGTTGTCCCAGAGATACAAATTAAATTAATATGGAATCTAGAAAGACTTCAAATAAAAGAAGGACAAACTTGAAGTCTTCTTTGTGATACATGTATTCGTATTTGAATGTATTTTACTTCATTCTATAAAAGTAATACATTCGTTGTACAGTATATTTTAATACAAGGTGATTAGACAAAAACGACATTTACAAAAGGTTGACAAAGAAATTAGGAAAGGAGAAGGGCAAAGTATAGTGGAACTTATTATGTTTTAACAAAATTAACACAAAGCTGTGGAACTGCTAGCAACAGATCCCACAGCCATCATCATCTCTGACTGCTGACCAGGCTCAGGGTAAGCTCTGACCAGGAATAACTAATGCAAAATAAAATTCATACCTTAGTTGCCTGGAGTCTAATGACAACTGTATATTATGGGTGGCAGGTCTGTTAAACATCTTTGGATAGTTATTCATGAAGAATCGATGAGCTTCTGATGTTGAGGGTCTGTCTCTGTTTACAAACAACAAAAGTTTTACTTAATCCATTTATTCCAACACCGAATAAGAACAATTGGCTGATGATTTCATAAAATAATGTGAACTTTTGATTTTCGATGGAATTTAATATTTTCACTGGAACTTAAAAGACCACTGGATAAAAGGACAGAATTTCCCAAAATGGCTAGCATTCTGTTTTCCAATCATCTTGTTTTTGAAGGAAAAGGCATTAACACAAAGAGTGCTCAACTGCAATTAATAATTAATCATTAAAGATAGGTAAATCAGTGACCATGTATTTAGTTGTTTTGTGTCTTCCTGAACTATTATGTATTTATATTTTGACCTTGACTTATTGAGTGGGACATGCACCCCTGTATAGCAATTCCATAATAATTAAACATTCAGGTCAATCAAACAACTTAACAAATAAACCAACTTTTCGGTTGAATCCTGACAGTTACAAATTGTTCATGATGCTCAAAAACATATCTAGTTGCATGTCAGCTAAATTAAACTGAGATCAGTTTTTTTTGTTTCTCTTTGTAAATAACATTCCGGTAGGCAAGGTGAAATGTGAGCGGGACTTCGTAAAAGAGAATGTATGAGAACTGCTAAAATTGGGCCTGATCTCAGGTTACAGCTAAATAAACTTAACATACCTCTCACCCAGCCCTTCAGTGCTACATAGCAACTGAAGACCAGCATAGTTAATAGCAGGAAGACCTACAAGCCTGTTGGGTACTGAAGAACAGAAGAAGAATCGATAAATTTGAATTACTGCTCTACATGCAAGTGCAAGTTTTAGAATGTTCATTAAAAAAAAAGGGGTCATTTTGTCTAAGAAGTTTAAGCTGGGTTAGTTTGTATTGGCTTACTGTGCTAACGATTTGTTTGTTAAAAAACATGTCATAAAAGTTTCACCTTAGACTTTAAGACCTGAGTAACCAGTTATTATTCTTTTAAAGTTTAAGAAATTCACCAATAAACACATCGTGTCATAAGCAGGTTGATCATGCATGATGGTCCAGGTGAACGTAAACACATCATGTATTTGACCCTCGTTGTACTTACACGGATGCCTACGTTTTCTGGTTTCTTCTCCAAATTTTGCACTCCATCCTCCTAAATCTCGTTTTCGTTCCGAAAACTTATTCATTTCGCCGAAAAATTAAGAACAAACTGTTTAAAATATCTTCAGCTTTCTCATTTTAACTTTGACACGAAGCCGCCATATTGGAATTAGAACACAGTCCGCGCGCTGTGTCACCATAGCAACTTGTCCGAAGGCCGATAGCGCTGGACAACGAGGACGACTACGAGTAGCGAAGTCCCCCATTTGTCCTCAGGGATAGCAGAGCGTGTGAAACGCGAGCGCGCGTGAAAAGGCGAGAAAAGGCGACACGCGGCGGGGAGAGAGGGCATTTTTCTCTCTCCCCACTGCGTCTCGCCTTTCTGGCTCTTGCCATAGTAGGCATTTCGGCGAAGCGGTCCTGGGGCCCTGAAGATGAGTTACGATATAGCTTTTGTAAAGAAGAAAGGATGGCGACGGAACAGAATCTAAAAAAATTGTCGAATCGTTGGTCCAATTTTCTTAGCAATCGGCTTTTTCTTCCTGAGTGCTACCATTATAGTGCATACTAGCAAACCGAGAGAGAACACTGCTTTACGGGCATTCCGAGTATCCCTCGGGATCGGGTTCTTATCGTTCACAACCCGCTGGACATGCGACCTATCCAACGGAAGCACCTTATCCTTCATCTTTTTGGTACTCCTATAATTCTTCACAGAATAGTCGACAGGCACCATGCCTAACAGCGACACCCCTTCACTCATCTTTTGAAAGTTTCGTTGAGGATTTTTGTGATAAATATTGAATTTACTTGTAAACGCATGAACGTGCGGCCCCAGTTTGCTTCCTGATGATATACGTATCAATGAACATTTCCGCGCATGAGTTGTAGCACAAAAGTAAAAACGAGGGCAAAAAAGGGGGGAAGGGGAAGGGAGGAAGGTGACGCTCTTTGCTCCTGATAAAGGATTCGTAGACAAAACCACACTGGCCCTTAGTAGGAATAGAGTATTCGCTGGTTTACTTTCAAATATAACCTATACATCCATATTTATGTGCCACCGCGTTGGATATATTTTTACAATGATAACTAATTTAGAGGCAATACAGTTTGTGAGCTCAAGAATTTAGAGAAGGTCAGTAACTCTCCAGTCATGGTCTGTGATTGGAGAACGAAACAATAAATGATTCAACACAAACAATACCCCTAGGCCTACTGAAAATCGAAGCTACTGGTTATTTAAGCCAATGAAAATAGAGGTCTGGAAAAGCTAGAATTCACTATTAGGTGATTTTTGGAAAAGTACTGCTTTACGCAAGAGCAGCGGAAAAACCTAAGAACATAACTTAGGTCTGTAAATAGAAAGATGAATTTCTTATAATTCATCCGGCGTGCGGAGTTACAAGAATTTCGCGACAACATTGGCACAGAACTGGAAAGTTGAGTGAATTGAAAATGAAACAAAAAGAGTGAAAATGGGTATACACATTATATCTACGTAGTCTGCTAAGAAACTTTAATTTCTGGTTTTGCCTGTTTTCACTTTCGCTCTATAGTAACTAAAAAAATTATTTAAAAAAAACCTCCAAAAATTTATCAAAAAAAACAAGCCTTTATAAAATTCTGAATCAATCTCGGTAAGAAATAGATAAATTATATAGAAAAAATAGAATTTATTTAACAGGTTTTATTCACTCCTCTGTTTTCGGCCTGAAGCAAGAGTGGCGTCGTAGCCAGGAGATAAATCTGGTCACTCTTTTTTTCTGCAAAGATAAAGTATATAACCAAAGGAGATTGTTAAGTACGAAAATACACAGTTAATACGTTATCTTCAAGAACGACGAAGAGCTACGCCACACTGATTAGGTGCTCTTTTGGTCCGAGAAAACAGCATTTTACTTCCTTTACCGATACACCACAACATGCCATGTTTAGTCACGGAGTCTTTGTCTCGCAGCACTGAGTGGCCATGACACGGACATGGAGGATAGTAAGAGACTGAACATAGGCACGATAACAAAATGTCGCCTCTACCGAGAACAAAACCTCACTTACACGAGAAAAACTTGCTTTTATATCTGAATATCACTTTAAGGACGATATTTGCTTTGTAATGGTTGTGGAGATGACACGCATCTGCTCAAAAAACTTGTCCCCAGTCCACCCCCCACTGATTGATTAGTAAACTGCGGGCATTTATACACAGTCGTGAGACAGGATATCATTACCACACTCCCAGGATTTTCATAAGTTGATCTAGTGCCACCATTTTAGGCCAATTCAATTTTGCAGAGTATCTGTAAGTTTTAAGCCAACTCACCGAAGTCTTTGGTTTTTTCTCTCCAGTTCGTCTCCTTTCCTCTTTACGAGTTAAAACTTCCTTTTCCCCATCGCAGCAGTCTACAGATTGACGGTTGTTCGCGAGGGAGAGCCGATGCTCGGAAGAAGCAGTGGTCGGCTGGCAAAGTCCACCTCTTGGTTCGTCACTTCGTCTCTCGTGTTTCTCTTTAATTTTCAGAGGCGAAGATTCAAACGCCTTGTTGCAAGAGGTGATGATGGTGAGCGTGGTGGCATTGGAACGCTTAATCTGAGGCATCCTAGGTGCACGGTCGGCTCCTTTTACAGCCAGTGTTGCTGCATTTACCCATTCTGGTGCACAAATGGCGAGTCGCTGTAGGTGGTTGCCCGGTCTTGTGTGCACTTCACTGTAGACAGCTGATAATTGAGCAACCTCAGGAACTTCAGGGATAGACCAGCTGCTGGTGTTATTAATAAGCGGCAACAGGAACTCGATTGGGTTTTGGCCTTGGGAGGGGGCAAGTCTTATCGCGAAAACTGTTTTGGGACAGACGATGGTACCTGGGACAAGCTCGATGACACTCTGCGCTATCAGACTTGTTCGGAAATTCGTTGTCTTCACCATGTTCAGAGCGGCAGTTATTTTGTTGGCGCCGTCTATAACAGTTCTGGCTCTTTCTGAATTAGGCGGTTTTGGTGACACCAGGACTCCCTGTGTTACTCTATAACTGTGAGGCAGCTCTGCAACAGTCTTTCCTTCCACTGGTCGATTATTAGTGTCGAGCTCTGGGATGGTCGCTCCTCCAGACGATGGTCCGGGCCACTGGAAGTACTTTAGCAGTTCAAAGTACCCCCAGTAATAATATCTTAGGTGCTGATACATCCACTCGCCCACGCTGTAGCCCAAATCGAGTTCCTGTTTTGCTCGGTCAAGTTCTTGTTTCCTCTGCTGAAGCTCCTGGGTGCTCTGATCAAGCTTATCTAACAGTGAAGTGCAGTGGGCTTTCATCTTGAGATTTCTTTTCTTCACATCGTTTAGTTCCCTAACTGCGTTCTTATGCCTCCACTTAATGTCCTGTTGCGATTCCTTTAGATGCGCTAACTCTTTCTTCAATTTATTTTCTTTTAACTTTCTCGACGTTTCGAGATCCTTGAAGTTCTTTTGAGATTTCTCCAACTCCTCTCTCTGGATATGATTATCCTCTTCCAGCCACTGTCGCTCTGATTGCAGGTTGTTAATCACTGCAGCGTGTTGCGCTATGGTAGCTGTTTGTTGGTTCACAATTGCTACAAGCTGCTCATAGCTGTACACATACATCTGTGCCATCCTTAAACAACAGAATCTTTTAAATGCGCTAAAAAAATATTTTCTCCGAAAAAAAAAACATTTCACCGCTCTATATAATCTTCCGTTAAATTTCAGTCACGTTCACCTTCTTCCAACAGTGAGGTTTTAAAATTTAGTGATGTCATAAACAATTACCCTTCCTTGTAAATTTCTTTTGCGCGCGCACTAGCGCGCACGGGCTTTTCTAGAGCTGCGATACTAATGGTCAGCACCAGAACTCTCTCCACTGCGTCTCGCCTTTCTCACGTGGGGTGATTTTCCCGCGAGCTTAGCGTTTAGAAAGAGCTGCGGTGTGAAGTTTCTAGACCGCGAAATTATACTATTCAAATCTGTAGCCTGCGTGGCAGGCGCCGGTCCGATTTTTGGTTAGCTGGTATAGAGCGCGCTCTATAACAACTCTCCTTATCAGGCTTTCCAGGTGCGCGCGTGTCCGTCCTCGAAATTTCTCCCTCTGCCCTAAAAAAAAAGCGCACGCTAAACAGGCTATCAAATCTGCATTAGGATATCAGGCCCCACCTTGAATCTGATCCACTCCTTCTCTTTCTCTTGTTCGATGTATTCTTTCTGTATCTCATCCTGCGAAAAAAACGATGGACGATAACTTAAATGTCTGAAACTAAGATAAGTATTCTGAACGCTCCAATAACTCCCGGAGACTAAAAATACCCTTTGCTAGGTCATCTATGAGCGTATTTTCTAAGCGCGTGTTTTATCCCCTAAAAAAATGCTGGATATGATAAGCAGCTAATAATCGGAATTGTAATGTTTCAACATCCCGGCAAAGAAGGCCCTACCCACCCAGGGTAGGGCAACTGATAGTCTGATACTCCGACTGGATTCGAGACAGACAAAAGCAAATCCTTGAAATTAGACGATTTATTGTTTTTTGAGTCTCACACCACGAAAAAAGTGACCATAAGAAAAAGAAGCAGGAAGAAAACAAAACATGTATCGCTACATATATCAGTAAACTACCTCCGTTAAATTAGCATCCATCACAGAGTAGGACTGCGTCAGAAGCGATCTTGTTACCTCATCTAAGTCTGAACAAAATCAAACAACAAGCTTAACGTAGAGGCAAGTAAACTATGGTTTTTTCTTGTAATTTGCTATCAGGTAGATATTCGGACAGAAACCCAAATCACAGTTAACATTACAATAAACAATAGAGACCTTTAGCATCAGGTAAACCGCAAACCACAAACCGCAGTTACGCGTTTGCAGTTTCGCGTTGCCGAGATTTCAAACTTTAGCAAGGCGTTCAGTTCAGTTCAGTTCAGATCATTTTTATTTAGCCAAAATATAATACAATACAAGAATACATATAGGAATTGTAAGGTTGCAAGGGAGCCCAGAGGAAACCAGAAGGCTTTATGCTGAAGCCTGGGCTCCCCAGTCTCAAAGAAATAAGCAAAATAAAATGAAATTCGCGGAGTGATATGTTAAAAATTGGAACTAAACAGAGACTGAGTTAAGTCATGGATTCAGTAACAAGATAGGAAAAAAAATTGACTCTGGATTGGAACAGAATACTTTCCTTTGTTAGTACGGCCGGAAGGAATATAACAGTGATTTGAACTACACGTTCATTGTTTAGGGCCGCCATGTTGTTTTCATCAAGACGAAGTGCATCACTTTAATCGCCCAAAACTCTGCAATAATTCATTGATTCGAGATCAAAAATCCAACAAACACATCGCAAACGGATATAAAAAGCTAGTTCATACCTTTAAACGCGAGGCTGTACAATTTTTTGTGGCCAAAAACCTTGCCGTAAATCACTTACCGCTGGAAGCCCTTCCTGCGGTTCGAACGTGAACTGCAAACTGCAAACGTGACCGCAAGGCCGTGGTCACGTGACATTTTGCGGTTTGCGGTTTGCAGTTTCCCATGAAAAACGTGATGCTAAAGGTCCCTAATAGCCCTTGAAATACGCCGGTCTGGAAAGCATGTTATGACGTGAAGTCTTACCATAAACGTCAAATGTGGAGATGGTGCCTATCTGCACATGAGTATCCGTGACCACAGAGCATGACATAGGTAGACCCTTCAGCACTGTGCTCTCACCAAACGAGTCACCTGTGCACAGTCTACCAATAAGCACAGACTTGGTGCGTTGTTCCTACGGATTATAAAGAAAAATACACTACTTGAAAAGGGAGGGCAGTAGGGATACACGTGGTCGTGGGCGTGGCACTTTTCACAATAGGGAAGACGTGGTTATGGGCGTGGCGCTTTTCACCGTAGGGAACACGTGGTCATGGGCATGGCACTATTCAAAGTAGGGAACACGTGGTCATGGGCGTGGCACTTTTCACAGTACACTCATGTTGGCCGATTACCAAATCTAATACCTGGCTTGCCTGCCTGCAAACATCTTCTACTTCTACCCATCTCGTCAAGTTTTGTAATTCAATTATATATTCTGGATAATTCAAGCTACCTTAAAATGATTTCTTAACCCTGGTTTATCATCAGGGTTCATCATTTCTTTGATATCAATGGTAGAGACATCACAGATTCAGAATACGTCAATTTTTACATCTTCCGACCCCATTTATTTAAAGATGAACTGCAGAAAGGTGGGGGGAACTAACCTTTTTGCCGTTTGGAAAAGTGTGAGCCACGTTGATATGTCGCCGTAAGAGACATTCTCCTTTCTTTATAAAGCCAATCACTTCACATCTTTCACCTTCTTTTACAAGGACTGAGAAAGAACAAATATCAAATACAGAGAGGATTAGATTAAAACCTTGTAAAGACGTCGTTTTCACCAGCGGATTTAATTTCATAAAATGTAATATTAACTTTCCACCAAGTAATTCTGCACTATATACCCAAACTTTTCTCTTAATTTGTTCTGAAGAGTTCTTTTTTCAAAATCGTCTCACCTATTAAGAGGTATCTGACCAGCTAACTCTGCGAAAAAACTTTCGACTTGTGGATCAGAAGTGACGGGGGGGGGGGGGG